AGAAGGGACTGAGACCTGGCAATGCTATCTTGGTTTAAAATGGAGCACATATTTAGCCAGGTTTTAAATGCTATGTTAATAATGCAGAAAGGATGAGAATGAATATCTTATCCTCTTTTGGTTGATTTTATAATTTGTGGATATTTCTTAAAAATTCTCCTCTAAACTGGAGAAGTTTTTCTTCATCTGAAAAAATTGGGTGGTTGAACTACATAACACCATGGCACGTTATTTATTAATTGATACTAATTCTATTAGCACAATTACAGTTTTTATACCAAAAGACCCCAAATGGCTTTATGGACTGAATATATATGCAGCATGTGCCCACAATTACTTTGTTGGGCTGAAACACATTAGGACATATTCACAAGCTTGAAAACCAGCCTTCGTATAATGTCTGTGTGAGACTACATATATACCTACCTATACAGGGCAAAAATCTAAATCAGAAAAAAAAGGTAAGAGGCTACTCGCATTGAAGATCTGGATGACTCCCACCTACATTTCACTACTGGTGAGAACAGAATGCTGGAGGCAGTGTCAGTGGTGCAAAGAGCATGGTCTTTGGAGTCAAATAAGCCAGAGCCTAGTTGTTAGCATCATGTGAACACGGATGACTCTGGTTTGACCTACACTTGCATCCGTGCACCACTAGCTTCACTTTTCTCATCTCTAAAATAGGAATAACAGCAGCACCTGCCTCAGAGAGTTGTCAAGAGAAAAATATGTGTGAAGCCCTCAGTACAGTGCCTGGGACAGAGCAAGCACTTGATCATGTTACTACCCACTTCAGGATCTCATCATCTTTGTAATTTTTAGTGTCTCATCCTTAACAATGGGAAAAGTCTTACTTACCTCCCAAGATTCTCTTAAGAATTGGAAAAGATGATACAAGCTAATGCTTCTCACACTTGAATGTGGGTATGAAACCCTGGAGACCATGTTAAAATGCAGATTTGGATTCAGTCGATGTGGAGTGGGGTCTGAGATCTGTATTTCTCCCAAGTCCCTTGGATGGAGGCAGATGCCAGAGAAGCATCTGAGGCACGTCTTAAAGCCCCAGAGCTAGTATTAGCTCTGCACAGCAGGGGCTGCCCTTTATTAAGAGAGAGCCTCCTGAAGGATGGGACACTGACAAAGGGTGAGAAGTGATTAGGGGACTGACTGTTGTTTTCTTCTTTTCTAATAAAAAGGAGAGGTCAGCACAGAAATGTGAGCGTTCTCTCAATTCTAAAAAGATAGTCCCCCGATTCATTTAAATAGTGGTTCATTTTCAACCCCCAAATAGGACTTTGCAGAATGAGCAAAATTTACCCAAGCTGACTAATTAGAAACATACCTTTCCTGGTGACTGACATTTGACAGTAGTTTTAATTCTATTCTTCCCACCTACCAGATAGTAAACATCAGCAGTGCATCTTAGCATTTCCTATCCATGAAAACAAAAGCCAAAAGAGAGAACAGTGTTATTCATGAAATACTTAAACAAGTATAAAATATCAAGTAAATATCCAGGGAATAAGTATAGAATTGTATGACTACTCACTCCATGTTTCTTGATCTCGCAACTTTCGGTCAACTCTTTATTACTTTCCTTAGAACATGTGGTTTCCCTGGCTGTGAACTCAATAAAATATGCGTATCCAGCCACCACCTGGAAAATAATTAACACAAAGTAGAACCTTCATTAATATTGTATAATAAATGATATGTTTTTACCCTAAGGGATCTTAGGGGAGAATATTAAAATTTTAATTATACACTGCTCAAATGAAAGGTATACAAATAAAGTACAAATGTTTGACAATTAACTTTTAGTTTGTATGCATGTGTAAAATATTTGGCTGTTAGGAAACAAGGCTACAATTTTTATACTTTTCTAAGTTTTATTCTTCAACAACATTCAAGCACTCAAGTTGTAATAGAATCTAAGAAGAGTAGGAAGAAAAACTTGAACATTTTCTTTAAGTATGCCTTATTGTCATGCAAAGTCCTGAATCAGAGAAAAACTGAGTTAGTGTCACTACAGAAATTGTGGGTTAAATTATGTGATTAGGAAAATTCTTTGGATTTTTTAGTTTGCCTCTCTTAATTATTTTATATTAAGAAACCATTTTAATCTCTTATCAATAGTTTTTTAAAATTGATTTTTAGAGGGAGAGGAAGGAAAAGGGAAAGAGAGAAACATTGATCAGCTGCCTCTTGCATGCCCCTTACTGGGGATCAAGCTCACAACCTGGGCATGAGACCTTACTGGGAATTGAATCCACAAACTGTTGTTGCTCTGGGCATTGCTCAACCAACTAAGCCACACCGGCCAGTACTGTAGCAACAGTTTTAATCTTTATACAATGCTGTGCCCACAGTGAATATTTTTTGGCCCAATTAATTTATTTTTTATATAAAAGAGGCACACTTTATTTATTTAAAAAATTAAACTCATGCTTTTTAAAAATGCACTGACTTCAATAAAATTGAACATATGGCCTTTCAAAATGCCATATCTTATATCTCTTACACTTAAAAAATATACTTGGTAAAAATGACTTTAAATTGTGTGTTAAAAAGTTAGTTGATATGGCGAACTTCTAGTCCAAGTTATTCTAGGATCTAAATAAGTGTGTGCGTGTGTGTGTGTGTGTGTGTGTGTGTGTGTGTGTAAAAGAATACACGAATATATCATCCGTTGACGAGAGATGACTATTATTTTTATAAATGAAGTTACAGCCCTGGTTGATGTGGCTCAGTTCGTTAAGTATCATCCCATGCACCAAAGGGTCCTGAGTTTGATTCTCAGTCAGGGCACATGCCTAAGTTGTGGGTTTAATTCCAGGTGGGGAGGGTCGGGGCATGACGGAGACAGCGGATTGATGGTTCTCTTTCCTTCTCTATTTTTCTCTCTATAAAATCAATAAAAGTGTATTAAGAAATAAAATAATGAAGTCACAGGGTGATAGTAGAATCTCGTTTGAAAAGCAAACCACAACAGTCTTCCCTTTCTCTGTGTTTTTTAAAAGCATGGAAAACGTGTGGCGGCGGAAGAGAGCAGGAGAACAGAGTCATAGGAAGAGCTAAGCTCCCCCTCTACTTTTTCTGGCATTGATTTGCTGGGTAAACATGGTTACATTTTTAAGAATAATTTAATACTTAACTTTTAAGACTCCAGGTTATGTGTAAATGGGAGGAAGGTTCTAAGAGGATTATAGGGTCTATATTTTGGTGATCATAAGTTTTCTTGCTCATTTCAGAATATATCTTAATCCAATTTTCCATAACAATAATGTTGATCAAAGTAATGTTGCCCAAGAAACTGGACAATATGTGACACAAACCACAACTGATGGCTCAACTCTATTCAGGGTCAAGAAAAAGGAATTAAATAGACATTAAGTCCTCCATTTGAGGGCCTCAGGATGGCATCTAAATTGCCGTTATCAACTGGTGTCATTCTTATCAAAAGTCTTCCCTGCTCAAACCAATCCTGCTCAACCTTTGTTATTACAGTAGCGATAACC